CTCCCTGCTGAGACGCTCGGGGGCCCAGCTCCAGCCTGCGCGTGGGCCGCCGCCAAAGGATCACCTACCAGTAGCACTAATCATGCATTGTAACAGGGGCGACCAATGCCAGGGGGGAGAGGAGGGGGAGAAGCACGTTGCATTGGGCAGGGAGGCCATGATGCACGCACTCAGGCACGGACACCGACGTCTCGAAATTTTAGATGTTCTCCGCCTCCAACTTCAGCGAGTTCAGGCGCGGCGGTTGCTCGACCACGCCTCGCCCGACGAGATTCTTGAAACTATCGAGCGTGTCCTGCTCAGTGCCGGCGAACAATTTATTCCGAGGGCAACGCAACAAACCCAGAGTGCCAGATGTATTGGTTATGGCGGCGGCGGCTTCTGCAAGAACGGGCAGGGGTCCGCAGCCGGAAGCTCGACTGTGGACCGGAGGCGATTGAGGAGATTGAGAGGCAGCTCCGTGAGATATCCACTCGCGTTTGTAAGTTGAGGGGGCAGGCCATGATGGGGGGAGGAGGAGGAGGAGGGCGCGTTTGGAGGAGTGTCTTGAGCATTGGGGACGTCGCAGATTTGCCGGAGCTATGTCGACCGCCCCGCGCGCCGCATCATGCAGGTATGGGCCGAAGCGCAGAGATGGTCGTCTTGCGCGTGCCAGTTCACCTTCCTCTTCGGCGTGGAAGGGGGCGCGGGGGAGGGGCAAGGGCGAGGGCGTGAGCTGCAGGGGGATCGACTGGGGCGCGTGGAGGGAGGGGCATGGCGAGGATTACTCGTTCTTGGTGGATGAGGAGATGGCTGAGCTTGCCAAAAGGGACCTCTCTCAGATGCGTAGATATATCCGGTCGGCTCCCGAGCGACGAGCTGTTCCAGTCTTTTGCGCGCCCCTCGAGCTTTGGCGCGTGGTGTTCTGCCCGAGTTGGCGACGTGCCAAAGTGGGCTGTTTCGGAGCCCCCGCGCAGGCACCCTGTAAAGTTTTTTTTGGGTTTCTGCTGAGCATCGGACTCCAGGAGATCAGATCCCACCGGGCCATTCAAAACATTGGAACTGTAGCCATGGGCCCCGCTCCACAAAAGCCATCGACAGGGGGCCTCTAGGCAAGCGAGTTGTCCGCGTTCTTCCTGTCCCAGGCAAGGCGTACTTCGCGAGGAAGTTTCGCTGCCTTCCAGGACAGTCTGACTACGGGTTCGTCCGCGGCCGAAGACGAGAGACATCCATGCATGTCCCCGGCGCAGTGTTGTGCCGACTCCGCCGCGCCCGACGGACCTTCTGTATGTGCTTGAAAAAGTTGAGTCATGCGTTCGCCAGCAGCCGTTGGGGGCGCATGGATGCTGCTGTCGCTTAGGTGCCGAGAAGCGGTTGTTGCTCTGCCTGCTGGGGTTGGGGGTTGGTCGGGTGGGTGGGTGGGTGGGGGGATTGCACTGCGACCGCGCGCAGCAGGGAGGGCTCATGGCGGGCCCTTACGTAGTGCAGGCTTGTAATTGAACTTTCAAGCAGCCGATTGATGACTGGCGCGTGGATGCACAGCGCAACGATGTATGCAGTGGCGAGTTAGTGGCATCCAGGGAGGGCCGCAGAGACGGACTTAGCCTTCAAAATATGCAGACCCCGGTTCGACCCTCCCAGAGCCTGCGAAACAGATTTGGAAGCGCGACGCGTTGTTGGACGCTAGATTGGGCCCACGTGGGTTCGGGCAGGACGCGGCCAAGCAAGAGTTTATGGTGTTCTTTTGGATGCGCGGTGCATGCCTGGAGGAGATATAGAGAAAGAGGGGCGGGGTGGATCTCGTGGGCTCCATCGAGGAGCAAGCTCGATACCTGGCCCCCGGGTGGTTCTTCGGGATACCGCGCGCCATGAAATTGATAGACGTATCGCGGCTTCTCGGGTCTCATTCAGATATGGGTTCAGAGTGGAAATTCAAGCGTTTACCATTGCAGGGCTTCGCCTACAACTCTCTCTTGAACGGCCTCCAGGCCTTCGTGCTGGCCGAGTCTGACTATTCTCGGCTGGAGGCCGCTCTTACTCGATTCTGTCGAATTGCGATGGCTGGAAAGGCCGTTGGCTGGACGGGCAGTCACCAGCGCGCGATGGCGAACGTCGAGCTCTTGAGATTTTGGAAACTTTCGATCCCATCCCTGGAGTTGCGTATTCGGCGTGTTCGATTGGTTCAAAGCTGGGCCCAACGGCCCCTCCGCCATCTTCAGGTTCTCGGTGCTCTGTTCGGGGAATTTCTTCTTGAACAATTGGGTCCTCTCACGGCGTCGGGGGGGGCGCATCCGTCTGCGTGCCCCAGACCTCCGCCGCGTGGCTGAGAAGCTGGGCAGGGATATATTTGACGGAGTTGCTCAGGACTTCAGGTCTTTGCTCGACGAGGCGACTGCCTCGCTCTTTGCTGGCGTGGATGTCTCTGCTTACAGATCGAGGCAGCGCGCCGTGCCGTGCGAAGTGGAGGAGACGCCGCGCGGACCTGGCGACTCTCAGTGCCTGTGGGGATGCTGGCTCCCCCCTCGAGGACAGCCCAGGGGGATCTTGTGAGACATCATCGAGCACCCGCAGGGGTCTCATGAACCACCTCATGGGCACTAATGGGCTCCGCAGTGTATGCCATGCTGCTGCTCCTACCAACGTATCTAATCACTGCAGACAAGTATTCGCATGCAAGGCAAACGCTGCAAGACATGTGATGGGCTCTGTGTTTCGTGGACATTGCCAAACAGTGGGCCCCTCTTCCTTGAAAGCGGTTATCTCCGTGTCCTCCTTCGCCTGCCCTGTCTGCGAGTTCGACGGCTCGAGCCCCGGCGATTTCTGCGATCACCCCGGCGCCCGCCTCCAGTATCGGCCGCGCCCACGCGTTGAAGATGCCGGATGGCGAGCCGAGCCAGATGGTCGTGGGGCCTCCATCTTAGCACAGCCCCCCAGAGAAGAAGCGCCCGAAGGGTCCAGGAGAAGAAGGGTGTGGGGGGCGCTGGCAGAAAGGAGGAGGCGCAGCTTAGTCGGGAACGCGTCGAAGGCGGACGACAGGTTGATCCTGTCCCTGGCTCGTGAGGTCGCGGGCCTCAAGAGCGCCGTGCACCGCGGATGCGAGGTGCCAGACGCGCCGGCCGGCCTGGCAGCAGCGGGCAAGGAAGCAGACGTCAGGCGCAACGCCCAGAGCGCCGAGGTGAAGAAGCTCGAAAAAGATGGCCAGCAAGTCAACCGCAAAGTGCGAGGCCCCCCCCCCACGCCCGCGCGGTGATGGAGTCTATCCTGTGCGGCGCTGGCACGTAGCTGCCAGACGGCTCAAAGCAGACGGAGATCATGCTGCGCGACGAGATGAAGGAGCACTACGCCAAAGGGATCTTCGCGAACGGGATCACAGCTCAGAAGTTGGGCAGGGTGATCCCGTGCAAAAGGGCGCAGGTGCTGAGGGCGGAGCAACGCGAGAAGCGCAGGGCCATCATTTCGTGCAGCTTCCACCGAGACGCGGGCCTCGGCATCGCTCGCTCGAGGCGGCTGGATCAGTCGATGGAATCCGAGGGGGGGGGTCCTCCTGGCAGGCGCGCCCCCGCGCGGGCCACTCGAGAGGGAGTTGGCGGAGGTGGTCGGCCCCGAGGAGTAGGTGTAGGCAGCGGCAGCGGTCAGCAACCGCGCAGTAGCAGCAACCACAATGCTTACATAGAGCTCCTCGACATCATAGATGGGCCCAGCGTGCATTCCCAGCAGGCCCTGCTGGGGGCCACTCGTTCGTGCTTTCTCCCGCCCAGGACCTCGGGGACCTCGGGGGCTTCTTCGGGGAGCGAGCGATTTCGTAAACTCGTGGCCCGTGGCGCGATCCCATCAGCAATAATTAATCGACCTGCCCTGAGCACATATGCTGCGGCACTTCTTCCGGGCCCGCGTCCAATCACTCCGATTATATACGCCCCTAGAGCTAAGAAGGGTTCCAAAGGCGAGGGGGTGGATCGGGGGGCGGCGACTGGGCATGGGTGACGGGGGCCCCCATGCCTTGGGAGCCTGCGCCCCACGGGCTGCGTGCCCAAGAATGGGGATGCAGGACAATGGCCAGTGCCGCTGTCAGCAGAGTGCGCCGGCTCTTTCGATGTCGGGGGGTGCAGAAGCAACCCGACTCAGAGTCCTATCGCTGGATATAAGCCTGGTGCAGCGAGCTGTGGCAGTATGACAGAGGTGACGGCAGGATTCCATGAGGTATTCATCCATTCATTCCTCCCTTCCCTCCCTCTATCTTCTTCCCTCCCTCTCCCTCGCTAACTCCATCGCTTTATCTCGCCACCCTTCTCCCCCCCCCGCCCGCGCTGCAACGCGCACCTCGGAAGTCAACCGTGCCGCGCGTCGGCCTCCAGACCGCCACTTGAGAATCCCTTCCCCCCGCTCTCTCGAAATAGTGATGGCCATGGTGGACGCATAGTGTAATTTGGCCGTCCGTCCCAAGCATTTAGGTTCAGGCAGACATGGAGCATCTTCCATGTTGCTTGAATTCCACACGCGCGGAAACATGCAAGCGTCGGGCCATTTTTTTCGGTTCCGTGGGATGACGGTCCAGATGACATTATGGACCGCGCGGTCCGCTGTCGCGGTCGTTATCAGTCTCAGCGTACCCATGGCGACTTCGATCGGTGTGAGCTCCACACTGGAGTGCGCAGATGACGACGCCCAAATTACTGCGTTTGCCAGCGGCATCGGCGTCAATAGTAGTGGTTGTGCTGAGGTGAAATCGTATTGCAATGCCGAGGCCGTTCCCGACGCCGCTCCCGGCGCTGGCGTTCACATGTTGAAGGTATCATGTTGTCGAAGGGTGGTTTTATGTCTCCTAGGTCCGGCCGTGGCAGTGGGCCATACGTTGAATTATGCCGTTCCCAGATGTGCAGTGCAGCTGCTCCAAAATTGTTCGATGCGTGGGCCCTGGAACGGGCCGTTTTCTGACGGCTCCGAGGCCCGGCGAGGGACCTTGGGAGGCCGAAAGCAGCCCAAAACCGCCCGCTTCCATTCCGTGGCCATTGTGGCTCAAGGTGAACGCGTCGCGTTGGATCGTCGCTACTGAACATTCATTGCTGCACTTTTTGGCGTTCGTCATCACAAACATGGTACACAGACTGATCTTTCCCGCGGCATTCGCGCTCGCTTACATTGTTGGCGCCGATATGCAGCTCATGCAGATGTCAGTGAATGGGTCGGACGGTATGGACGCCGCAGAGCTACGGACTGAAGCAGTGTGTGAGCTGGGATGCACGCGTTGTGGGTATAACTGGTACACCATGCACTGGAATTCTGGTAGTCCGACTATTCATTGGGGCAAGTATTGCAACTGCTGCGGTGGAACCCAAGGACAGCAAGACGTGTGCAAATACGTTTGCACGGGACGGACGACGCCGTACCCGACGCCGTACCCGACGCCGTACCCGACGCCGAAGCCGACGCCGAAGCCGACGCCGTACCCGACGCCGTACCCGACGCCGAAGCCGACGCCGAACCCGACGCCGTACCCGACGCCGAACCCGACGCCGAACCCGACGCCGAACCCGACGCCGTACCCGACGCCGAAGCCGACGCCGAACCCGACGCCGAACCCGACGCCGAACCCGACGCCGAACCGACGCCGAACCCGACGCCGAACCCGACGCCGTACCCGACGCCGAAGCCGACGCCGAACCCGACGCCGAACCCGACGCCGTTCCCGACGCCGAAGCCAACGCCGAACCCGACGCCTTACCCGACGCCCTACCCCACGCCCTACCCCACAGCTTTCCCAACGTCTTACCCCACGGTTTTCCCGACGCCTTACCCCACGGCCTTCCCGACGCCCTACCCGACGGCTTTCCCGACGGCCTACCCCACGGCTTTCCCGACTCCCTACCCGACGTCACTTCCCGACGCCCAGCCCGACGCCCAGTCCGACGTATCCTTTGGGTTGGCCGACGCCAAGTCCAACGTTTCTTCCCGCAGCTCCCATGGCGGGCGGAGCCGCCGGAGGCGTGGCTGCCACCGGCGATCCGCACCTTCAAAACGTTCACGGCGAGCGGTTCGATTTAATGAAGCCGGGCAAACATGTTCTGATAAACATCCCTCGTGGAGTGAGCGCTGATGACGCATTGCTTCGGGTGCAGGCCGATGCGCGTCGATCGGGTGGAAGTTGTTCGGATATGTATTTCAAAGAATTGAACATTACAGGCTCTTGGGCAGAGGCTAAGCAAGTTGGAGGGTATCACTACAGCGTACGGCAAAACGCCGTGACGATTCCGCAATGGGTCGTTGTTGGTCCTGTCGAGCTGAAAGTCGTCCACGGACGCACAGAGAGTGGCAACTTGTACTTGAATGTGCATGTGAAGCATTTGGGGCGATCAGGATTTCCCGTCGGAGGCTTGCTTGGGGAAGACGACCACAAAGAGGTGATGACTCCCCCGGCGTCTTGTACCAAGCGCACGTCTTTGCTGAAAGTGGTGACGAGTGGCCAGGCACCTTCCTCCGAGTCGCCACTTGCAATAGCAACCTTCGCGTGACCATGCGGGATGCTTGAGAAGTGGGTATATGACAAGCAAGTGCGCCATTTCGGGCGACGCATGCGGCAGTGCTTTCCAGTGCAAAGGAGAGCTGGCTCTTTTACAGGGCTTCTGAGACTTCTGTGCATGGTTCGTGCCACCTTGCACCACTCTCAGCGGCTGTCTGGCAGCATCTTGTTTTCACTCCGATGCTCCCGTTGCTCGCCGAATCGAGCTGGCATCCCTGCCAGCCGACCTGCTCCGACCTGCAACGGCTGACAAACAGTGGCTACTTCCCAGGACAGTCGTTCGCTAGCTTCAAGGGGCGGAGACCAAGGGGGCTTGCTTCCTCCGCCCTCCCTCCCCCTCCCCATCCCTTTCCTTCCCAGTCTGCATCCTGTGTCCTCCTTTGACCCTCCGCATGTCAGGCTGCTTGCGCCAACCTCGGCCACCGCGCAGCAGCATAGCGGGGCGTAAATCGAGTTTGCAGCCCGTTCCAGTTCAGCGCCTTGTTCGAGCAAGCGCCGTTCTGGAGTACCCTCTCTTTTTTCTTGGTTGTTTCCGCGGCCGTCTTTGAGACAATGTTTGGGCATCGTAAGGTCCTCTTGGGCCGAATCTGAGCCACATTGGGCTGTCCTGGGGCCTTCTTGCATGGCGTTTGGGCAATCCTGGGGCCGACCTTGGCAGCCTTGAGGGCGGTTTGTGGCCGTCTTGGGGCTTTTTGTTGGGGGCCTCGTGGGCCGTCTTCGACGGCTCTCAGGTCCTCTTGGACTATCCTCGGGCCGTGTTGGGCCGGGGTGGGCCGTCCTGAGGCTCTCTCCTTGGGCCGTCTTGTGGCTGTCTTGGAGCTTTTTGTTCTGGGCCTCGTGGGCCGTTTTCGAAGGCTCTCAGGGCCTCTTGGACTGTCCTCGGGCCGTGTTGGGCCGGGGTGGGCCGTCCTGAGGCTCTCTCCTTGGGCCGTGTTGGGCCGTCTTGGGCCGTGTTGGACCGATTACGACCACTTCGGACTGTTCAGCAGCTGCTTCGGTCAGATTACAACCACTGGAAACAGACTGATCGCAACCTGAAGGATTCCTGCACACATCTATGTGGAGACCACCGGATTGCAACCGCGCCAAGAGTTTCGGCAGAGCTTCTCTTCCGCAGAGCTTCCGCAGAGCTTCTGCAGAGCTTCTGAGGAGCTTCTGAAGAGCTTCTGCAGAGCTTCCGCAGAGCTTCCGCAGAGCCTAAGCAGGCCTCTCAGGAATCTGCTGATTCGTAGGATCTCCCGGATTCTTTTTGGATTCTCGGAGGCCTTCTCTGGAATCTGGCAAGGAGTTCTTATGATTGCCTAGGGGGCCCTCTCAGGAATCTGGCAATTGGTAGGATCCCTTGGAATTACTCGGGTTCCCTCGGAGGCCCTCCCAGGAATCGGAGCAATTGGTGGGACCCCGTCGCATTCGTAGGATTGCATAGGAGGCCCTCTTAGGAATCTGGCAATTGGTAGGATCGTTAAACATTCGTGTGGTTCCTGTGTAGGCCCTCCCAGGCATCTGAAAAAATGGTAGGATCCTTGGGAATTCCTAGGATTGCCTAGGAGGCCCTCTTAGGAATCCAGCAATTGGTAGGATCCATAGGAATTCCTAGGGTTACTTGAGAGGCCCTCTCACGAGTCTGGAAATTGATAGGATCCCTGGAAATTCCTAGGACTCCTGAGGAGGCCCTCCCAGAAATTTGGGAAGTGGTAGGACCCGTAGGAATTCTTAAGATTCTTACGGATCCTTCTCACGACTCTGGCAATGAGCAGGATCTTTAGGAATTCCTTGGATTCCCTCGGAGGCCCTCCCAGGAATCTGGGAATTTGTAGGATCCGTGGGAATCCTTCAGTTTCCCGAAGAGACCCTCTTAGGATTCTGGCGAATTCCTCAGACGAATCACATTGGAGTCGTATGCGAATCACATCGGAATCGTATACGAATCACATAGGAATCGTATACAGACCGCGTAGGAACCGTACACGAACCACACTGGAATCGTATACGGATCATGGCCAAGTTCGAGCTCGAGTACATGTGTTTAGCTGAGATCATGATCGGCCGTCGGTGGTCGGACCGATCGCAACCGCTTCTTCAGATTCTCATTGGCCGGCTTCAGGGAGAAGGGAGTTCAGTGCACCCAGAAGCGCTCTTACGATCTCTCTCTCTTTCTCGCTCTAAATCGGCACCTTATTGAAGCGACCCAAAAACATCACAGCCACTTTGGACCGATCGCAATTGGTTGCTCTCAGGAATCTGTTGATTCGTAGGATCTCCTGGAATTTTAAGGATTCCCTTGGAGGCCTTCTCTGGAATCTGGCACATGATCGTCGGAATTCGTAGGATTGCCTAGAAGTCCCTTTCAGGAATCTGGCAAATGGTAGGATCCCTTGGAATTCCTGGGGGTCCCGAAGAGGCCCTCCCAGGAATCTGAGCAATTGGTGGGGCCCCGTCGCATTCTTAGGATTGCGTAGGAGGTCCTCTTAGGAATCTGGCACTTGGTAGGATCGTTAAGAGTTCTTGTGGTTCCTGTGGGGGCCCCCACCAGGCATCTGAACAATTGGTAGGATCCTTGGGAATTCCTAGGATTGCCGAGGAGGCCCTCTTAGGAATCCAGCAAAGGGCAGAATGCTTAGAATCTCGCATGATTCCCTCAGAGGCCCTCTCACGAGTCTGGGAATTGAAGGGATCCCCGGGAATTCCTAGGACTCCTGAGGAGCCCTCCCCCCAGAAATTTGGCAAATTGCAGGATCCGGTGGAATTCTGAAAATTTCTTACGGATGCTTTTTTTAAAATCTGGCAATGAGTAGGATCCTTGGGAATTCCTAGGATTCCCTCGGAGGCCCTCCCAGGAATCTGGGAATTGTAGGGTCCGTGGGAATTCTTCAGTTTCCCGAAGAGACCCTCTTAGGATTCTGGCGAACTCCGCAGACGAATCACATCGGAGTCGTATGCGAATCACATGGGAGTCGTGTACGAATCACATAGGAAACGCATGCGAACCGCATAGGGACCGCATACGAGTCACATGGGAAACGTATGCGGATCATGGCCACGTCGAGCTCGAGTACATGTAGCTGAGATTGTGATCGGCCGTTGGTGATATCGGCGGGTGCTGCCGGCGTTCTTTCAGATTCTCTCCTCCGGCCGCGAGCCAGGGAGTTAGGTGCGCGCAGAAACCGCTATGAATCTATCTATCTAAGAGAGAGCGTGAACCTCGGAGAGAGCGTGAACCCCCGCCGCTTATAACTGTTGGAAAATGGCCAACCTGTTCCTCCCTCCTGAAACCCAGGGGGTCGCCCCCCCCCCCCTCCCCCCCCCCACCGAAAATCCCCCCCCCCCTGCTGAAACCCTAAATTTCACCCCTCCCCCCCCCCCCCCCCTCCCCTTCCCCCGGCAAAGCCCACCCCTACCCCTAACCCCTCCACCCCCCCTCCCCCCCCCCCCGCCCGCTCGAAAACGGGGGGGTCACAACCGTTCGAACCCCCCCCCCCCCCCCCCCCCCCCCTCCGTAATCCGGAAAAAACCGGGGGGTGGTCACTACCGGTTCGAACCCCCCCCCCCCCCCCCCACCCCCCCCCCCCCCTACTCACCGCCAGCAAACGACTCCCGGTCCCCACCACCGTCCGCATCACATCCCCCACTGGTGTTCCCAGCACTACTGTCCTCACCACCGCTGTCCCCACTGGTTCCACCACCGCCCCTACTGTCCCCACCAGTGGCCCCACCACTGTCGCACTGTCCCCGCTGTCCCCAGAACTGTTCCCACCACGGTTCCACCACTCTCCCCACTGTCTCCACGGCCCCAACCACTGCCCGACAATCCCCACTGTCCCCACTGTCCCACTGACTCCTCCGCTGTCCCACTGAGCTGTCCCACTGTTCGCACCACTGTCCCCACTGTCCCCACCACTGTCCCCACTGTACCTCCGTCCCATTGTCCCACCGCCGTCCTCGCCACCGCCT